GCCCAGCTGGAGCCAAGGCTGACGGCCACGGCCGGATCGCCAGGTACGCGGTGCGGCGCGAAGGGAATCTTTGGCGACGGGAGCGAAGCCGGGCGCCTCGGTGTTACCCGTCCAGGAACAGCACGGTCGGTAGGCTTAGGCTTTGCCTCAGATCTGTACCATTTCGGAACGTGTCCTTCCTGTTTCGGAAATAATAAAAAGTGTGTAGCCGTGTTCTGTTCCCAGCTCGCAAATAGCCTGGGTCATCTAATTTTATGGCAGAAACAAGAGGAGAAAAGACAAAAATAATTGGTGAGTGGTGCAGAACCAGGACTAGAAACAGTCTGCAGCTTCACTGAGATGTTTTTTGGAAAATCTACGTTTTGCTTGACCTCTAGGCTTCCTGTGTCATTGAGGGTGTTAGGAGTTATAGTTGTTACAGTTGTTACAATTACTTGTGTACTGTGGCTTCTGCTTAAATGCCTCTGAAGTACGTATTTACCCTGTGAAAACTCTTAACCGTTGCTACAACCTCTTCTGATGTATCTATGCTTTTTTGTACACACAGAAGAGTTTACTTACCCACTTTATTTGTCCATGTGTATTGTTGGGGTTTTTTTTTTCCTTTTTTTCCTCAACATGTGCATTTCAGAGAGTCTGAAATCTGGAACGAATCAGACGACCCTGCCGTTACTTCAGCTGACCATGGGAATTCGTGGTCTGCGAGGCAGAGTTATGCCAACACCTCCACCAAAGACAGCTCCGCCTTCTCTTGGGGCTATGATGTGAGTAGTACGTAATCATCCAAACCAAATGTAGGACACTGAGTAGAAGGACATTTAAAATGCCATTGCAAGTACATTTCAGGATGAAAATGAGGATTGGATCTGTCAAAAAATTGTGATAGTGGTTATAGAAAGAACATCTTTTTTACCTCTTCCCCATCTTTCCTTTCTCTCAGATCAAAACATATTAGGCTCTTATTATTCAATTAATAGTCTGCATTTCCATCTAAAACTTGGGAAATGCAAATCATTTAATGCATGAGTGTATGTGTCCAAGAAAATAAATGCTGTTATTGTGGAATCCCAAACCTGAGTGGATAACTTTGAGACACTTGGTGTGAGTTTATCAAACTTCTGCATACTTGTATGTTTCTCAAAATACTGAAAGTCCCTAAAACATTATTTTCATCTAGAAATGTTTGTTTTATTCCCCATCCACCAGAACAAAGTGTGCTATTGCTTTCTGTGAGGTGAGATGGAACTGTTTAAGTTACCCAAGAACCGACCCCATTTTCTAGCTACATGACAACATGAAACAAAGGTCCTGAAGATCCTTCACTTTTGCAGTGTTCCACACCCATCTGCATTGCTTTTTGTTTTGCTGTTGTCTATGGACATTGCAAGCAACAAATTTTCCATTTCATTAAAATGTCACTGAATGTTATCCTTCCTGTTCTGTTTTATGTAAATAACTATGTCTTTAACTTCATGTAAAAATACAGATATTTCAAAACATTTTAATAGTTTTGTGTCAATGTAAGCCTTTTATGTAGCTACCATCAGTCCTAACAGCAGTCTGTGTCATCTCGGAGGGAAAATTACTGGAAGTTAATGTCTTTCTATGTGAAAGAAATAGAACTGTTTAAATCAGTCTTGCTAAGTTTTAAACAAATAGTTGTCTTTTTCAGTTATTAAAAAAAAAATCAATTAAAAACCCTCTCTGAATGCTATGGACTAGGTATTTATGGGATAACTTTCCTGTCTAGGAATTTGATAAAGCTGCCACACAACAAGTTCAGCAAATGTTCAGACAAATTGATGAGCTTCTCTATGAGCAGAAAGAAAATGTGCATGTTGAGGGACTGCGGGAAGAATGCCACCTGTGGACAGCCAACTTTCCTCATCTCAGGTATTTTATTAATAGGCTAATGCTAGTACCATCACAGAGTTATAAAAGGGTAGGGGTGGAAACACTTGGTTTTAAAACAACTTTAGTAGCAGGGTGGTTTTATGCAATTATATTGCAGATGGAGATAAAAAGATCGCTCCGCTAGTCTATCTGCCATTGCCATTACTAAACATTCTGCTATCTCACATGTGGTTCCTTGCCAGAGGATTATTGCTACTTGCAGCTGACTTGGCCATAACATAGCAAAATTCTCTTAGAAAAGATGTGTGGTGTAGCTAAAAGCTTAAAATAATTTTAAAATCCTCCTACTCTGGTTCAGTGGTCCTTATGGCTATCTGGAAACTTAAATTTTACACCTTCATTACGTGTACTTGACAGTTTTGTCCATATTTAGAAGTCTTAGAATTAGCAGAGCATAAAAAAACCAAGAAAAATTTTCTTACTGTATTTACCTGACTTGAAGCAATCTGTACCAAGGAAAGCAACTGAAACCACGTTTAACTATCGCCAAGAAAACCACATAGCTTCCCAGTAGAATTTTTAGGATTTGCTGCTGTGTGTTCTTACACAATTCAATAGTCTCACTTTCAGCGTTTTCTGATTTATTTATCCTTTGCTTTTGCTATGGCAGGGTTGTGGGGAAGCAGATAGTGATCCCCACAGATGAAGGGTATGGATGGTATTCAAGTTCACCTTCTGGCAGTTTAGGTTCCTCAGATGTAAGTTCACCACAAGAAAAAGATTCCAATGAGTAAGTACCAGCGGTTAACCCAGACCATACCCAGGTGGGAAGGTAATTTTGCTCTCAGCTGACTGCAGTGATAGGCTTCTTAACATGTGACGCCTAACTCCTTTCTGTTAGGCTCAGTTTTGAACACAGCACACTTTTGTTTGTTTGTTTTTTTAACTGAAAGTAGTACATTCAGAATAGCAAGACTGTGTAGCTGTGCTTGTTGCTAACTACAGTAAACCAGTCAGCAAACAGAAATACCTTGCCCGCTACTGACTTCTCAAGGAGAAGTATTTCAGCTGGTTTTATTGTTAATTATCTATTAAATTTTATAGAACTTCAAAAATACAACTCACTACATTAGTACTACTTTTATTACTTAATGTTTTAGAATGCTTTCTAATTAGCTTAGAATTTTTTTCTGAAGTTTCAAGTTCCTTAGCAAGAATTCAAAAAATACCCAAACCAAAAGAGTTTGTATGGTGAGGCATAATTCGTTGGCCACCCTGGTGCCTGGCCCTAACTACCATGTTGTCTCTCAGTCTCTGAGTTCACCAAATGGTGCTACTTGAAGTGGAATAACAACTTATTTTCATTTCTGCTTTTTGAAAACTGTCACCTGTTCAGATTTAGTGTTTTTGGCAAGAAGGTACCTCTTTCTGTTACTCCCGTTCACAAAAAGGCTGACCATTCCAAGTCTCCGACCTTGTGTTCTCCAGAGAGTGAAGAAGATGAAGATGGAGTAATCGTCTCTGAAGGTGTAATGGAGGAATATTTAGCATTTGACCGCAGAGATGTGTATGTATTGAATATTAAAATAGCAACTAGTACCAGTGTCCTGGAATTCCTGCT